CATGGAGCCCAGCACAGCTTGAACTCAAGACCCTGAGATTTATTTGTTTATTGACCACTTGTGTGTTTGACATTATTTTAGGCATTGGGAATTCAGTAGTGAATGAGACAGAAAAATCCCTTCCCTCATGAAAACTAATCAGGCGTGATATAAATGTTACTGTTTTTCACTAAGTTTTCCTAGTACTCTGAAGGTTTTTGGATCTTCAGATTTTGATCCATTTGATGTAGTTTGAAGTGGTGGGGTTTGGAGCCAATGGTGGTTTAATTAATGCACGGGGACAGGACCTGTGGGCAGAAAGTGCTGCATTGGGGTTGTGACGGGTGACTGATTATATACTTTCAAGTTGGGGGGTGGTTAGGGACAGCACAAGCCTCCAAGGTGTTTTGGAAACAAGGTTTCCAGGATCCTGAGGGGACTAGTTATAGTTAGGAGAAGGTCATTTATTACTATCTAGTAAACCCTTAGTCATGAGATCCTTCAGATGTGTATCAGTGGGCCATATGCTTGGAGGATGATTGCTCACAGGTATCGTGGTGGGGTAGAGATAAAGGAAGTTTCCAAAGGAATGTATATGTTCAAGTAGACTCACAGGATGGGGGTGGGGGTCGGTTGGGCTAAGATTGCCTTTTGCCCCTAGCAAAGTGTCAACATTCAGGTAGCTGAGCTCCCAGAGGAAGGTCACTCCACCTATTTCAAGGACTTGTCAGTGTCTCTAGGCAGTAAGGAAACTTGATTCTTTCTTTTGCCTTTGTTTCCCACATCACATTTACACATTAGAAATAGTTTCTTTCATGAAATCTCTGATTATTGCTTTTTTTTTTTTCATTTGGTATTTTGGCTCATCAAATGCTCCTATATGGAGTTCCTTGTTTGTCTGCACTGGTCTTCACTCTCTCCCTTTTTATATTCTTGCCTTTTACCTCTGTCTTCTGTGAGAGCACAGCAGGTTTATTCTGTACAGACATTTATGCATATGTGCATCGACCTTTCTGGCCTTCACTATTTCTTTTTTTTTTTAAGATTTTATTTATTTGACAGAGAGAGACACAGTGAGAGAGGGAACACAAGCAGGGGGAGTGGGAGAGGGAGAAGCAGGCT